CGGAGCGGACAGGGGCGCGCCTAGGCGCAGGGCGGGGGCAAGGGACTGGCCCGCCCTTCCTCCTTCTCTCAACCCCGCCAAGCGCCCCGCCGGTTCCCCTAGGCAGGTGTGAAGCCGGATCCACCTTCAGCATGTCTCCAACCCTCTCCTTCCCTCAGCCAGTGTGCTGCCCAGCTGGGCGTTCCTTCCCCCGAGACTTGGGGAGTTCTGATCTGGGAGGGAAACTTTGAGGCCACCCATCCCTTCTATTTCTTTCTTTCACAGGTGGACAAACGTGTCAGAGAGAAGAAAAGATTGGCCCAAGGTGCTAAAGCAAAGAAAGCCTGAGCCGAGCCCCACAGCAGACACACACTGCGTTTGCTCGGGACACAACTCTGTCAGGAACCACGAATGAGGTCCTCAGGTCCCTTGGACAAATTTTTCTGGGAGCGGGGCCAAGTGGCCTGGGAGGACCCCTGCACCCTCCCATTTCAGCCTGTGCTTCTGATGGAGAGAGAATGGAGTTATCCCAAGGGGCGGCATCTCTCCGGACTAGGGAGCCCCTCCAGAGCAGGCTGGCGCAGAAGGCCTACCACATCACTTCGCTCTGAGAGGGTGCTTCCCACCTGTGGCCCACTTCGTGGGGTTTTGTTGTTTTGTTTTATTTTGTTTTTTCCTGATGTGAGGTGGCAGCCCTAAGCTCCATGACTTTCACTCTCCGGGCTCAGATACAGGGACTGCATATTTTCTTGTTGCTCCTGTATGGAGTTTAGTGGTTTAAAACAACACCTGCATGTTACTTCACAGCCCTGCAGGTTAGAGGTCTGATGCAGCTGCTACCAGGTGAACGTCCAGGTATGGGCAGTGCTGGGGACATCAGGGAAGCTCAGGGAGAGAATCTGCTTAAGGGTTTGCTTGCTGGCTATCGGCTGAGGCCAGTCTTTACGACTACTATGGCTACCTAAGCCCCTTCCATGTTTTCCATGGCACCTAGAGGTCTGTCTCCAGGCCTTGCACATGGATCCTTCATCTCAGAGCCAGTAATGGCATGTCGCATTCACCTCATAGCTTTAAATCTTCCTCTTCTGCCACATCTTTCTTCCTTCTAGTTGAAGAAAGCTCTCCACTCTTGAAGGCTTATGTGATTAGGAGGGAGCCATTCAAATAATCCAGAACCATCACCTTCTCCAGGGGTGGTGGCATTAATCAATCTGCACTATCCTTTTTGGAGCTGGCTGTCACACCTCCAGGACATTCGAGAACCCAAAGCCAGCAGAGGTGTCCAAGGTGAGCGGGGACAGGGACCCCTTCTTCTCCCTTAGTTTTCTAAGCAGCCATAGGCTGGGCTGGATCCTGCCTGCCCTCCTCTGTAATATGTCCCCCGGGTTCATGCACAGGGCTGTTTTGTCTGAAACCAGGCATTCTAGACAAGACAGCTCAGTGCTGGGACTTCCATGGCAAAACAAAGAGGCTGCCGCAGCAAGCCGCACCCCGGTGGTCTCCGCTAGCTGCAGGGAGCTACCAAAGGATTCACCTGATGTCCTGTCCAGGGCAGGCATGTGCCCTCCACCACCCTATCAGGGCCCGAGAGTTTGCTAAGTATACAGAGACACCAGGCCCACTCAGACCTACAAAACACCCTAAGAGGGTTCAGCACTCTTATGTCTAAGAGATCTCTCAAATAATTCTGACAGAACAGTGTGGGAACTAATCTTCCCTTCAAGTCAGCAAACAAATGACAGTCAGGACTAAACTCTGCCTTCCAGTAGTTGAGCCAATTCATAAAAATCTTGGTAGGCTCCAATCCATAAGTTTTGAAAACTTTCACTTCTTGGCTCCTCAGAGGTAAATAACAGATCGCACACCTGCACTGCAATGTCTGGGAAGCATCCAGAGAGTGTCCCATCCAAATGTGTTCTGAGCACGTTCCTGAAGTCGGGAAACGAGTCCCTTTCATCACTGCTGTCCCTGCTAGTGCTAGGCTGTTTGTTTTCTCTGGAGAGACACACAATTAATGCAAGGAGAACAAACAGAACAAGAATTGATTGTATGATGCCAGTTCTCTCAGGGCTGTATCCTGCAGCACAGTTTCTGGAGGGACTTTGACCATCTCTCTCTAGGGTTGTTCACATGGAGACTTGCAGGCCACAGTCAGAGTTCATAAAGTATGAAGTACCCATAAAGTATAGGAAAATCATGAGGCGTGGGAAGATAAGGTGGCAAAGTCAAGTTCCTTCTTTGGTCTCCAAGCTTTTCTCTTCCTGCCTCCCACCCGTGTCTGTCTGCCTGGGAGGGTGGCTGAATTCTTCAGGTTTTTTTGTCCCATCTCTCCTGTAGCCTTGGATATAACTAACATGTCCATAAGACCCACTACCTACCACAGCACATTATTCTTTGCTGGAGATTGAACCTTATGCATGCTAGGCAAGTGCTGTACTACGGAGCCACATTCCCACATAGGCACATTATGCTCTAACCCACCTTTCCCTTTGTGCCTGCTGCCTGTCTCTTAGTTCATCTTTCAGAGTCCCACTCCAGATTACTGGAATAGTCTCTCACCAGGTCCCCCTGCTTCCTACGTTTCTGATTTGTAGTCCAGCTGCCCTCAAGGCTCCTAGTTATTCTCCATATTCAGTGTGGCTCCCCACTTGAAGTACCCACATAGAGTCCAGTTCCTCCGTGTGAGATCCCAGGGTCACCTCTTCACCCAAACTTGGTTCTTTCCCCTCCACAATGGTCAACCACAATGGTTCAGTAAGCTGAACTAAGTAGATCATGGGCTCCAGCACTGCATGATAAGCACTTTACAAACTAGTGAGTCTTACCATCAGATAATTTCACATCCTACACAGAAACCAACAGAGTACAAGAAAGACAATTCTCAGTAACTCCTTGTTGTATGACCGACCTTGCCTGAGGTCTTCATGGCATCGGCCAAAATGTGCTTCTTTCTGAGACCTCTGTGTTCTCAGCCTAATGACATGTGTATGTAACTCCAGTATGGGACAGTAACAAAGACCTCTGGGCATCTCCCCGCAGAGTAGGTGGAGCTGGGTGAGTGCTGACTCTTCTGAGATGTTAACCAAGCTAGAAAACTAGACTCTACAGCTGGAGGCAGCCAGTGGGCAAATGGGCAAATGGGCCAACCAAAATGGTGGGTCAGATCCCTCCTGCTTTTATGAGTTCTTAAACTGGTGTTGGTTAAAGGCAACTCATCGTTTGTTTCCCTTAAGAATCTGTTAATGCTTTTCTGCTAAGCAAGGTAAGTCAGTGTTTGTCTGTTCATTCATCCCTTAGGCTTAGGATGGTGTTAAGCCAATTTCTGTTATACAACATAAATCTGCACTTGTCAAATAATCCTCAAACACCTTACACAGCTAATAATTGTTCAAATATTTATGAGCTGCAGAGAAGAGATTTATGCTAAGCTGCTTGACAAGGAACAAGAGGCTGTGCAGGTCCTGGGAACATTCTGTTGAAACAAATATTGTCAAGGCATCAGTACTTTTATAGCATTTTTCATAACGGACTTTCACACCTGCTCATTTCCCTAATTATCCTGGAGACTTTTACACTTTCAGAGTAAGAGCAAAAATGGAATTTTTTGAAAACTCAGTAATTTAAAAAATTAGCTGCTATATAAAGAAAAACACATACTCTGGCAGAGCCATTTCTAAAAATATATACTCAAGATGGATGCTCAGGGAGAGAGATACTGAGTTGTTATGGCAACTATGATTATAATTGTGAAGCTGGAGGGTTTTTCCCGTTCATTACTATGTTGAAATGTGGTAGTTTAAATGGCAGTGTCCTTTGTAATTTGCTCAATTTCATTACTACATAATTAGCCATTTCATATTTAATCTTCAACCTGTTTGTTCTTACTCCCATATCCTATAGACTTGACATCTTTTGATAAACCTTGTTCTTAGTTTATGGGTTCCCCTTACAAAGCAGTTTCTCTCCTCACCATTGCCTTTATTCTGTTATTTCGAAAAGGCAAAGAATGAAAATATTAGTGAAGCTATAATAAACTCATTTCATTGTAAATATACATATAAAAAGATTTTCAAACATCAGCTCACCAAATCGAACAATTAATTTCCTAAAATGTGGTATGACCAATCAAGTAGGCCTTATTTTAGCAATACCATGGTGGCTCAACAGTAGAAAATCTATCTGTGCAATTCATCACATCTCTAGACAAAAAGACAGAAATTATATGATTTGTGAGTCAATGAATCTATCAAATTAGTGAAGCATTCATAAAATTCAACTTCTATTTGGGAAATAAATTTTTACCAGAGTAGAAATAAAAGCCTGCTATCTTTTTTTTATCTTAAAGAGAATAATAAGAAAACAACAATAGCAAAATACAAACAAAAGAAAACAAAGACATTAGAAATGATATGGGGTTTCAAACCAAATGATAGAGATTAGCAATGGTTGTTATATTACATATTGTTATCTTCAAGGAAGTTGCTCAGATTACCAGATGTAAGAATGGAAGATATTCAAGCCATTAAAGAGAATAAGAAAATAATAATTTAAAAAAACATTAGAGATAATATAGAGTTTCACTAGACAGGATGGTAGGAATTCACCCATGGTTGTCATATTGCATATTGTTGCCTTCACAGAAGTTGCTCGGATTACCAGATACAAGCATGCAAAATTGATCAAAATATATTTAAAAATTTAAGCATTAACTGTTCCTTTCAATAAACCACCAGACAATCCCAGCTATCCTTTTGTATGTGTGTATGTGTGTGTATGTGTGTGTGTGTATAAAAGGCTGCTATCTTAACTTGATATATACTGAAAATCTGCAACAAACATTATAATTAGCTGGATAAATTTAGATCCATTCCCTTGAAGCCTGGATTTAAGGGCAAATATGCACCGTCACCATAATCATTTC